AGCAGCAGAAAGACCCGGAGAGATGCATGATAGCAAGGGATAGCATTATCACGTAAGTTTCAACGCCGTTCTCATGAATGTTTGTGTTTATCATGTGTTTGCAGATTTTGTTTCATGTTAGCTGTTTTAGATTATAAAAATGACAACGGAGAGGAAAAATATGAGTGGGCTACATGATTTATGTATGCATGTTTGTGCATATTGAGTGTGTGTGTGTGTGTGTGTGTGTTTGTTTGTGTGTGTGTGTGTGTTTGTTTGTGCGTTGGTTCACTATTAGAATTGTTCAAAATAAATACTGTTTAGTTACAATGTTCAAATGTTGTTCTGAAATAGTATATTATATAATATAATAGTAATAGTTTTGTTTGTGTGTGGTTTCATGTGTAGATGAGTTCTGAATTGATATACATATAGCATGTAGTATATGTAGTATGCAGTGCCATAATGGAGTCTCTAAATAGCCTTTTTGAAAGGATTCCTAGACTTTTCTTGAAATAAAAGATCTAAATGACTTATAACCAAATTTACCATGATGCAGAGTTTTGTTGGTTTTATTTGTAGATGCAGGGATTCAAATTAAGTTTGAATCCTTTCTTGTATTTTTAATATCGTTTTGGCTTTCATGTACATTTTACCTTGTTTTACTCTGTTGCTATACTAATTTTGAGTTATTATGACTCCAGAGTAACAAAGGTTCAGGTGTCTAGTTTCAAACAATACCAGATTTATAAATATAGACCTATAAATATAGAGAATATAGGGTTCAAGAGCTACAGACATTTTTATTTGGGTATGTCGTTTTTCAGAAAATGCTCAAAAACAGGGGCGCACAGTAAGTGGTTAAATATTTATTATAAACTATTACTTATTTATTTGTTTGTTTGTTTGTTTATGCATTCATGCTAACCAGCCAAACTATGACCCCTCAATAATATGAACCAATAATATCACAGCTGGATTTTTGAAATACAATCAAATACGATTGATAACATTAACATTATTTCCTATTTAAACAAGTTTTCTTCAGAAATATGTCATGATATGGAAATGAAATGTGTCATGACAGCCATTTCATGTTGTCTTTAACGGAACGCTTAAACTACACTACAGATGAGAAGAAACATGGTTGGCAGGGTCAGATAGATCAAATTCTTATCAGTGTGTCAGCAACCCTGTCAAACTCTTACTGTATTATCACACACTGGCACCCTCGGTATTAATCACACCTCACTTCACCTGACCCTTTGCGTGTACGGTCACGCTCTTTTCTGCCTGCCTTTCCTCAAGCTGATTTATTGCCATCATGTCACACATCATGTTTTCAAAGCAATATATGTAGATCTCGTTCATTTATTTATTTATTTTTTTCTTCTCGGGATCTGCTGTGAATTCAGATAGTGAGAAGCCCATTCAGTAGGTCCTCCATTTGGCTCTGTCTTTCTCTGCTCTCTATATATCGCTCCATCCAGGCGTACTCCTCATTCTTGTTCATTTCCAAAGAGGATGAGTGAACACACTTCACTTATTCTTGTCATTTCATCATCCTTTGTTCAGTGTGGCACCACACAACATGTTTGAGGCTGGGCTCGGTAAACATGACGCCGGTGCCTTTTGATGATGTACTTTAAGTAACAATGCGGCAAAGAGCCCATAAGAAACCAGGTGTAAAATAACCGCTTTGTTTGCCCGTGATTGCGACAAATGGAAAATCACTCCACTCTGGCCAACCAGTTTGGAGGACTATTTGCTCGCAATTATAAAATAAAAACTTTTCAGTCCTCGTCCTCAATATGACTGAGTCTGCCTTTTCATAAAGGAGCGGGTCTTTTCAGTAGGGATGTAATAATGGCTTTCATTTTTCTCGTTGCTGTGGCCACACCTCTGTCACAGTTTTCATAATAGCAGAAATGAATTAAATCTACATTTTTGTCCTATGAATGCTAAAGAGAATGTCTTTTGTGAAACAAAGCCTCTAAAATAAATAGCAGGCTTTAGAAAAGGATGAATGAAAATCTGTGAGTGTCACACATGGTGCCAAAATTAAGCAAGGGCTTATTTAAGCCTATCTCTCC